GACCGAAGCGTGGTGTTCCGTTCCGTGCTGTTCCGTTTCGTTCCTTGCAGTGCAAAAACGGCTATAGACATGAATACGTAGACACCTCATGGAGCGCTGAATCGTACTTTAACGTCAACCGAGAAATATTTCCTGTGTTGCAAAATTGGCCCGAAGTAACCGATTGTAAGTGATTGTTAGCGTAGCAGCTAACGTTTTACTGAGTTGTTTATAAGCGAATTTCTGGCTGCAAAGTCAAGTAATTCTTATCTTCCATCCTTACCTGTGAAAGGTAATGCCAATGAATCCAGGTTGTTTCGTAAAACGTTGAAACAAGTCCACACAACACAGGACTTAAGGAGCTCCGATCGCCCTGCTGCCACATAGAAGATGGCGGTGACGTAACGTACGACTCAGCGCTCTATGAGGCGTCTACGTCATAATGTCTATGGTCTACTTTAGGGGTGCCCAAAGTTGGTCCTCGAGGGCCGGCATCCTGCATGCTTTAGTTCTCTCCCTGGTTTAACACACCTTGATCAAATGATGGCTTGCTAGAAGCCCTAAGAGGAACATTGATAAGCTGAAAAGGTTGTTGCTACCACCAGGGAGAGAACTAAAACGTGTAGGATGCCGGCCCTCGAGGACCGACTTTGGACACCCCTGGTCTACATATTCATGTCTATGCTGGGAGTAGATGTAATTTTTAATACAGATTTTATAGTTAAACGAACTTAAAACAAAAAGTCAGCATCAATGTAAAATTCTAAATATATCGAAGGGGTCATGAAAATTCTTTTGAAATCTATCTGTTACCTTTTACTAGTCTTAATTTTAGCTAATTTAATTCATTACCTTTTACTACCGCACAGAAACCCTGTTTTTTTTTTGGAAGTTTGTTCCAGATTTGTGGAACATAGAGACTGAATGCTGCTTCTCCATGTTTGGTTCTGGTTCTGGGGACTCAGAGCAGAACCAGAAGACCAGAGGGGTCTGGAAGGTTGATACAACAACAACAACAGAACTTTAATGCATTATGGTGCTAAACCGTTCAGTGATTTATAAACTAACAAAAGTATTTTAAAGTTTGTTCTCTGAGCTACAGGGAGCCAGTGAAAGGACTTTTGAGCTGGTGTTATGTGCTCTATGTTCCTGGTTTTAGTGAGGATGCGAGCAGCAGCGTTCTGGATCAGATACGTTTTATTAGGCATGTCTTTGAGGACACTGATCGACTAACAGATGTGAGGAAGATGAGTATCTCTAGATCTTGCCTAGACATTAGTCTTTTAAACCTGGAAATGTTGTTCAGGTGATAGAAGATTGACTTTGTAACCGTCTTTATGTGGCTCTGAAGGTTCAGTCATCTGGTTCACTATACCCAATTTTCAGGACTGATCACTAGTTTCTAGCGGTAACTCTAGATCATTTGTTGATTTATTTACTCTAGATTGTTCCTCTTTAGCTCCAAAGACAATAACTTCAGTTTTGTTTCTGTCCAGCTGGAGAAAGTTATGGCACATCCACACGTTCATCTGTTCTAAGCATTTATTCGGGGGTTGGATGGGTTCAGAGTCACCTAGTAACACCGTAATGTACAGCTGTGTATCAATAGCTCCAAAGCAGAGCTTTGGGTAAATAGGATGGAAAATAAATTGTTGTGTAGTTTATAAAATGTATCATAGTGGCAGCCCTTGGATAGAGACAAAAGGAATGTTTATTATGCAACTAAAGACTTGTTTAGAATGACCTTTTTTTCTTTGTTATCCTTTTATCTAATCCCCTGAATACATGCATTCTTCACACCAACAGACTGGAAATGTGCAAGTACGTGTTTTTTGTTTTCATGCTTTTGTCTTTTAATGCAGAATGGAATCAAGACCCCCCTGCTAAACGAAGGCCGAGGTTCCAGAAA